CCCGCGAAGGAATCCGAGTGTCCCAAGGATAAGCCGTAGCAAACAATGATCCGGAAAATGCCTCTTCTCGGTGGAACATGCATATCGTAAAAAACGACTAGGAATGACATTTGGTGACCAACTGTGGATCATAAAAGAAATACTTGAATAGAAGACGGAAATGGCTTTCAACGACATTGCTTACTACGTGTGTTCTGGCATTTCGATTGCTTCGTCCAAAATACGCTATTTCCTAGGGCCTTCGGTCCCTGGGTCATCCACATCTGGCAATTTTCCTCTTCCCAGGAAGAGGAACTACTTTCGCTTGCAACGTAATGGTGCAATGCACTGTTAAAAAATAAATTAAATATTTCTTTAGCTGACAGGTGAATTAATAAATTCTTCGGGTCTCGCGGTTCGTTTTTATAGAAACTCGGAGCAATCGGCAAAATAAAGCAGCGGTCAGCATGTCAGTGTACATTAATATGAATACATAGTAATTCTAGAATAAAAACGATGACTTAACTTTTCTATTTCTAATTCTTTGTCACGATTCGAAAGCAATTCAGAGGCCACATGCCACGATTCGAAGACAATTCGGAGGCTATATGTCATGATTCGAAGGCAATTCGGAAACACATGGAAAATGTCTGTGGACGTACTTTCGCTTGCAACGTAATGGTGCAATGCACTGTTGAAAAATAAATTAAATATTTCTTTAGCTGACAGGTGAATTAATAAATTTCGTTTGTTTTTCTACAATTGACGAATGTGTTTAATTGTTGAATGTTTATTGTCTTGAGCACTGTTACGGCCAAGTGGCCAGGATTTATGGCAGGGGCCATGTGTTTGGGTATCCGGACGGTATGGGTCTGTCCCGGGCCGTTCCCGGGCACATGTGGCACCGTCATAACGTCTCCTGGTCCTTGAGTACGGTCCAGTCAACTACGGTTGGGTCTGACATTGTTCGGGCACGTAGGCCCATCAGCGCGGGAGGTCTAGCAGGAGTTATTTTGCCACTTTCCCTCCTAACTCCCGGCCCACCGTTTTGGGGCAGTCTCACTTGATTTGGGATTGCAGTGATTGGACCGTAATTCCTTGCCGCCCACCCTAGGTTAAGTAAAGGTAGGGATAACCGAGGTGACCTCGTGGATGCCACATGGTTATTCGTTAGTCCTGATCTGTCCATCCACCCTGATCCATCTTGAGCCGTCAGTGGATACAGAGGTCTCCCGGGAAGCTAGTTGTTGGAGCACCCGGTTAGCAAAATAGAGTTTTTGTCGGCACACTAACGTGCAAACTACTACAAAGCTCGAAGCTCACAAGGAGCACCACGAGCAATAACAAGCACTGTGTTTGCTTTGAAAAAATGTATTTCTATCAAATTTATCATTTTCTTGAGCAACAAAGTGTGAGATAGACGGTTGATTATACTCTGTGGTAAGTTTTCACCGATAGCCTCGTACCATACTGCCTCATATCATGAAGTATCGACACGTGAAACTAGTCCCTTGTCCTCGACCTGGCGCAAGGTAACAAGTAACAAGACCATGAAAAATAACTTCATCGCTTTTGATGATAGAAGAAAGTGGTTGAGGGAAAAGTTTTGCGAGATTTAAACTTTGCCTTACGTGACAATGCGGACCCGTAGCGAACATTGCAATCTCAATTTAGTAGACATGAATTTTGCTCATCACAGAAGAAAAATATTCCATGTTACGCATCGAATTGATGCAGTATATTTGAAAAAAATTCTGTCTTCTATTAGGTCATTCCATAAGTTTCGTGCCGAATACTGTTCCCATTTTCATTAAATACTTGTGCACAGATGATTTTGATCAAAGTTTCAGCCATCTCTTGAACCGATGAATTCCGCGTTCCATCCACTGGGTTGCAAATTGTGTTCTCGTCTAATTCAGTTAGACGTCTGGAACGTGGTTGATCTTCGAGATCAAAATTCCCTTTACGAAATCTATGAGCTTGCAATCCTTTGCTGCATCATAGAGAAGCGTTGCAGCGTACGTCCCGGCGGATCGTCGCCCGTCGGGCATAATCGAAAATGTTCGGAAATAGGTTGTGTTTAAGGTTGCAGCTGGCATGTGAGCGGTACGTTTTACGGATATTTTGTGTTTAAAGATAGTTGATTTTATAAGTTAAGTGAAATGGTTCTACACTGTTGTTTTGTATTTGTTATTAATTCAAAACAGTTTTTGGAGTTATAAATATGTATTATTTCCACCAAAATTTCCACGCAACTTTCTTCAGTCATAACCGAGAAAATTCGATCAAATTATTTTCTCCAAATACAAGGCGATAAAGCGTCTTCTCCGTAAACGGCACGAATATTGTTTACGGTAATTATTGCTGTATTGCCATTACAAAACTCGTGCCGCACCGATGCCAGAAATAAGTACGCGTCTCGCTCTTGATTTTTCTCACTGTATAAAAATGTGTGCGGTTCACTTACTTTTTGTCTCGAGTGTGTTCGCAATGTTCTTCTCAAGTTATGTCTCACATTTACGCGTTCAGTGCTGCGTCGATTACACGTGAGTGGAGCTAATTTTTTTTACCAGTATTCAGAAATCATTTTTATTGTAATAAACAAGGTTTTCGTCATAATTTGTACCAGCGTTTCTTTTGTAAATGGTAAACAATAGAAAAACACAATATTTTTTGTGAAACAATGATGACCTTCATTTTTTGGAATGCTACATATTTGTATACATCATATTGAGTCGTTTAAAATAGTAGGAAGTTTTTTAAAAATAAAAAACGAACTATCTTGAATTTTATTGTTTTTTTATTCAATTATTAAGTATCATCTATGACAATTATGTGTGAAAAATGACATCTGTCAAATGACCACCACGACCACATTTACAGACATCGATTCGATCAAAATTTTCGATGACGTTTTGGCATATTTTCTCGTTTGATTTACCAATCTTATTTCTAATGTTGTTTTTTAAGCCATGAATTGTTGCTGGTTTGTTAGCATAAATTTTGCTTCTCAAATAACTCCAATGGAAGTAGTCCAATAAGGTCAAATCACACGAATCAGATGGTCAATTCAGATCACAATTTCTTGAAATTAATCGACTATTGAATTTCGATCGCAATAAAGTGATGTTTTCACACGTTGTGTGTGTGTGGCGTAGCTCCGTCTTTTTGAAAATGAACATTGCTTATGTCGATTCCATTTAATTTCAGTCATAAATAATCAATAACCATTTCATTATAATTAATCAATAACCATTCATTTTCGAAAAAGAATAGACTGATTACGCCTTTCGACCAAAATTCACATCAAGCAGTAACTTTTTTTAGATAAAGTGATTTTTCTTGAATGGACTTTCATCTCCCCATAAGCGACAATTTGCTTAATGCGTTTATTGACGACAATGTGCAATTTGCGACAATGTGCTTATTGACGTGTCCATCCAAGGTGAAATGAGCTTCATCGCTGAAGATGATGTGTGAAAACAATGCATCAATTGAACGTTATTCTAATAACCAATCAGCGAAATTTCTGCGTTGCAAACTGTTACTTTTTTCAATTCTTGTGTAAATTGAATTTTTTTAGGCATGCAAATGCAAACCTTTATACAGAATTCGCCACAAACTGCCGTAAGAAATGTTTAATTCTTGAGAACGAGCTGTTTTTGGTCTGCCATACTTTGGTTTATCATGTAACAAGTCCAGTTCTATCAAATTTTTCAACCAAATTTCAAATTGTTTGCTCAGATGGGTGATCATGTGTGCCGAAAAAATCACGTAATTTACGAAGGGTATTTTTTATTGAACACAGAATTTTAAAATAAATATGAATAACTTTGACACGCTGTTTAATCGTATACGAATCCAATGTTAAAATTGTCTATCATAGTCGGTTAGAAAAAAAAAGAAAGTGACAAGAAAAAGACATGGCGTCCGGCAGATATCTTCCTTCGACATCCTAAAGATACTTTTGGATAACCCTGTGAGAGCATGCATTAAGACGAATCCAACCATGTAGTATACTATGGTTATCAGGGTTCGTGTTGTCAAAAAATATTAAAACCATAACGAAATGAGATAGACTATCATATTGCCAATAAAATAGAGTACAACTTTTTCTTCTTCCATTTTTTTCTAATGATTACAGTTTAAAAAGAAAGCGCTGGTACAAATTATCGCGGTCACCATGTATATATTCGAATAAGCTGAATTTTACTAGGATGTTTAAAAAGGCGAAGAAGTACCATCCACTACGATAGATTTTAGCTTCCTAGTTCCAGTTTCATTGATTCAATGACCTCGATTTTCTGGAAATTTGTGGAGTCGATTTCCGGCACTTAACGTGTTAAAGCGGACGATTGATCACAGTCCTCTATTTTCCGGTACAGTAAACACCAATTACGCGAAGATCCCGCAAAAAAGCAGAGCGGCGGCATTGATAACGTATTTTCGTCTATGTCTCCCGACGAGAATATTACTGTGGAAATGCATGTATACGTACCTTGGAGAGGGTGGTGGGATGCGGATAAAGGTTTACGAGGCAGTTCTGCCGTCTCAGTCGGTAGTCCCAGCGTGTCTCTAGATGCGGGATTTCCATAGTGTCGCAAATGCTTTGCACATGAGACGCGGTATGCGCGCTCTGCGGCCCAAAAATCGCTGCAACTCCGTTCCGAAGCAAATGACACACTGAAAACAAATACATCGCGTTACGTACACCAAGCTTACAGCCGGTTATTTGCTCTTACAGTTTGTTATGAGCAATTTTGGAGGCGCGCAAACAACCCCTTTTGAGATTCGCGTCGAAGAAGGCACGGATAGATGAACGTTCTCTACGCGGATGAACTCGTTTTATGAACCGTCCATCGTTCCCCGTGTCAATTTAATACGTTTTTACAGAGTTTTGATCTAAACAAGCGGCATTATTATCTAGAATATCTGAACTTCTTGCGCTTTAACGAGTCAAACTGCGGAAGATTTCATACGTAAGCTACTAAATATAAATGTTATTCATTTCTTCGAAGTGATATATTGATATATATATGTTTATAATATAATTATTAACAGTAGTATACGTCATACATATATAATATTACATTATATTATATCTGTCTCTTATACACATCTAGATGTGTATAAGAGACAGACATACATCCTTAAGCATTAAATACCTGTCTCTTATACACATCTAGATGTGTATAAGAGACAGCAATATATATGATGTACACTACTGTTAATAATTTTTTAATTTCTTAAAAAGCACGACATACATCCTTAAGCATTAAATACCTGTCTCTTATACACATCTAGATGTGTATAAGAGACAGCAATATATATGATGTACACTACTGTTAATAATTTTTTAATTTCTTAAAAAGCACGACATACATCCTTAAGCATTAAATACCTGTCTCTTATACACATCTAGATGTGTATAAGAGACAGCAATATATATGATGTACACTACTGTTAATAATTTTTTAATTTCTTAAAAAGCACGACATACATCCTTAAGCATTAAATACCTGTCTCTTATACACATCTAGATGTGTATAAGAGACAGCAATATATATGATGTACACTACTGTTAATAATTTTTTAATTTCTTAAAAAGCACGACATACATCCTTAAGCATTAAATACCTGTCTCTTATACACATCTAGATGTGTATAAGAGACAGCAATATATATGATGTACACTACTGTTAATAATTTTTTAATTTCTTAAAAAGCACGACATACATCCTTAAGCATTAAATACCTGTCTCTTATACACATCTAGATGTGTATAAGAGACAGCAATATATATGATGTACACTACTGTTAATAATTTTTTAATTTCTTAAAAAGCACGACATACATCCTTAAGCATTAAATACCTGTCTCTTATACACATCTAGATGTGTATAAGAGACAGCAATATATATGATGTACACTACTGTTAATAATTTTTTAATTTCTTAAAAAGCACGACATACATCCTTAAGCATTAAATACCTGTCTCTTATACACATCTAGATGTGTATAAGAGACAGCAATATATATGATGTACACTACTGTTAATAATTTTTTAATTTCTTAAAAAGCACGACATACATCCTTAAGCATTAAATACCTGTCTCTTATACACATCTAGATGTGTATAAGAGACAGCAATATATATGATGTACACTACTGTTAATAATTTTTTAATTTCTTAAAAAGCACGACATACATCCTTAAGCATTAAATACAGTACTTGATAAGTTTCATGTATCTAAAGTAATGTGTAATAATATTGTATAATATATTATATATGTAATAGTAATTTTGTAATAATATATTACAAAATATAAATCTCGTAGGGGGTTTCATAGCTTAATAAAAAAAAAGTATATATGATATATATATAATGATATAATATATATATATATATATAATATATAAATATAATATATATAATATATAAATTAATATAATCAATAGTATATAAATAAATAAAATATATATAATATATAAATAAATATTATATTTTACAATATGTGTATAAATATAATGACATATGTAATCTAAGAATTATAGTAAATGAAGACGTAGCTTCTGCTCAATAAACTTATTAAGCAGAAAGAAGTGAAAAAATCAGCCAAGCTGCGAAAGAAATCGCAGTACAATCGTTAAGTTCTATATTTTGGTTATTTGTCTTTCTCTCACATTGTTCTTTGTATCGTGGTCAGTGTAGGCATGCAATTTCACCATGAACCGCTATGCATATGCAAGACGTCTACCGGGTGAACATCGTAATTCTGAGCTACAATGACAACGCGACGTAGAGCTTCAGGTGGTTTTACAATGTTCACCCGGTGGTTTCACGATGCAAAGTCGTGCGTGGATAAATTGCATGTCAAATCACTGATCGTAATGTCAGCTATTAAAGATCGCGAAAATTGCAGTTTTTCACGAATTTCAACCAAAAACAAATGATCGTTCAGTGGCTGTATCTCGACCATGCGTCCACCGATTTCGACGAAATTTTCAGCATGCATATAAGTAATCGAGATCTACAAAATGCATTTTTTAAATTTTCGTTGTAAACTCAGATAAAGAAATTGAGAAAACATGCCCGAGATTTTTAGCAGAATTTTTACACAGGATTCAATGGAGAAATGAATGAAACCCGCGGGTAATCGGAACTTTCTCTGTGTCTACATTCCTAGTCGAGATAGAAAGTTGAAATTTTTCGTGAAATGTTTTTTCTCACTAAGCTACAAAACTCATGCGTCATATAGCATGCATATAAGTAATCGAGATCTACAAAATGCATTTTTTAAATGTTCGTTGTAAACTCAGATAAAGAAATTGAGAAAACATCGTTCCTTAAACTTTTTATCATGTCTACAAATTGCAATTGTTGAAAATAATTTTTTAACCAAGAAATTGAAACCGCTTGGCCTAATTATAAAAAAGTTATTCCGTCTCAAAAAGTGTGCGAATACTTTCTACAACCACTGTAGCATATTTCCAAATTAGTAAGTGGAAGTAAATTTGCGTTGAAACATTGCAAACTTGAAGGGTTATTAGAGTATAGTACATGAAATTTTAAATAATTACATTAACGTATATTAATGCATGACTTGTTTAAAATTGCATTGGGCCGCAGCGGCCGCCATAATCCGCTTAAGGGTTAATCCTACATAATTATATTTTGAAATCTCAAATTTTGTTCCAAAAGCTAAAGCTTGGCAATAAATACTTATTACATCATTTCAACTTGGTTCGAGCTGCAGAAGCTTCTTGTTAAGTGAACTACGGGAGAGAAGGATCATTTTCATGTCGGTCACATCCACCCGAAATCTTCTTGCTATGCAAATGGGAATTAATTCGAAAATCAGTGGTTATGCGAAACAGGCATTCGCGGTTTAAGTTCAGAATATCGAATTAAGGTTCGTAACTTCGGAATCAAGGAGTCCGAGAACTTTTCCTGAATTTAACGCCGCTAGGAAATCCAACCCCGCTGTCGTTGACACACTTGTTAGCAGGGATCTTTAACTTTCTGTTTCTGCTTTTATCTTTTCTCCCCTGAATATGAAATATAGTCGACGCTGAAAGAATCGCGCGATTCTCTGTGACGAATCGTGTTCCAGCAAGTTTCTAAGAAATATCATTTTCGGTTCGGCAATCGCAGACCTCGCGGGAACGCTCTCCGTATAATTTAGGGGAGACTGGGGTAAGTTGATACAGTGAAATGATTAAGACATTGCGGATTTTGTAGCTAAACAAGCAACAGACGTTTCGAGGTCATTAGTTATTTGTGTGTTCTATGTTTACAGTCGGTGTGGAAAGTATTTTTTTTTTTGATACAGTGATCAATTGAAGGTAAAACTATCTACATCCACACCACCAATAAATTTTATAAGAGAACAGTGATTAGTAAATATTCTTACATGCTTTGTAGTATACATTGTTTGTAAACAATATGTTATTTCCCTTCAATATTATAAAAATATCAACAAGTGCAGACACACGAGCAGAAATGGGCATAGAAAGGCGCATAGAAAGTATTTGTACATCTAAAGAAAGTGTAAAAGCTGCTTCACCAAACGAGTGGAATCAAATAGAGCCTGCTACATCCAAGTTATATTCCACGACAAGAAGGCTCGACGCAACTTTTATGATTTTAAGGGGAGATTTTTACTGATTTTAAGGGAAGATTTTTACTGATTTTAAGGGATGATTATTACTAAGCTGCGAATCTTTATACAAAGATTTCTTTAATAATTTTAATAAGTTAAAATTAATACACCAACACGCTTGGTTCTGCATTACATAAATGCATAAAAATCCGCAGTCTAATTATTACATTTTATTACATGGATTCTATGGTCCAGATTATTTTCTGGAAATGTTTTTATACAATAACCTCTTGCGGAGGCCATACCTTTTCTCTGAGGCATGTTGGGGCAGTGTACTATAGAAAATGAAGCCACGGAAAGAGCTAAAAAGAATTGTGTAAACGAAGAAAGAGCGCTCAATGAACTGCAAAAGTTCTTAAAAGAATATCAGAGACAAAGAAATTAAAGCCGATAATAGTAACAATAGAAAAGCATAAAAAACAGAAATTAATTAAAGAAACTAATAACAAATGTGTACAAAAGAAAAATGTGTCAGAATCAGAAGATGAGTCATTTTTCTTGAATCATTTTAGAAAGCGCCTGGTTTTTGTACATTGAATACGCGCATGTACAACTGAATCAAAATTACATTACAACAATATGCATAATTAAATAACATATTCTGAGGAATGGAAACAGTTATCAAAAATGCAATGCAGGTGTTTTGGATAAAAGTCAACCCACTTTCGAGACAATATCAACTTGTCCCGTAGTGGGGTACGTTGACGTATTTTGCATTCGCTTAGGAACATTTTATAATTCATGTTGCACGTATTTTCTCAAATCGTAAAAAGGTAGGATCAAAGTAAATTTTTAATTCTTTGTTTTATTAAGCGATTAGCTCAATTTTCCAGTTAGCAGCGACGAACTACATTTTATTTAGGGTTGCCGATGCTCATGAAGGACGCGCTTCGAACGAACAGAGTGATCCGCAAACGTAATTCACGATTATGTTCCAAAGAGCTCAAACTTTCCGAACGTGGAACTATTGCTCGCCGGTCGCTATCGATTAATCAGCCAAACTTTGGGCAACTTTCGACATACTAACTTTCCACTATACCCGGTTCCCTGTTTCCCATTTCCCACAGACTTGTACAATCGTTGTCGCGCATGACAACCCAACTGTCTAGCCCGTCAAGACCTTCGCCAGATAAATCCGCAGTCGCGACTTTAATGACATCCTCCCGAAAGTACGGGTTAAACTGCGGTGAATTGGCGGCGGCGGATGTCGGCGTATTCAGTTAATTACATTAATACGTTTAATGCGATTCGGTGCATCGTCGCATTTTACCCAGCGACGAGCCACGAGTTTTCGAAGTCGGTAATTAGTCACGAGGGGCAAAGCATTTTCTAAATTGGGTTCCTTCCTCGTTAAAACTGTCCCGGAAAACTCTATTTCCTCGGCATCCATGCAAACGAAACAAGGCTACAAGTTCCTCTGGAACAACATTAATTTTTTCTCTCTCCCCGAGTTTGATGGTTTTAGAGGATTTCGTGAGATCCTCGAGCTCCGAGACCAGTAATCTTCCGAGTAGCCGGACTTACTCGCGTTTGGATGAATAATTAGGGTAGCGTGAGACATCAATGCCTGGCGGAGTTGAATTATTCAATTACGGGCAGACTGCTAGTGTTTATGCAAATTTAAATTTATTGGATAATTTATGAAAATATAAATTGAATGGCAATCTGATTATCTCGACTAATAGTTTATTAAAACTATTAGTTTATTAAAACCCCGCTCATTAGAGCGGGGCACAAATTGCTGTTCCGGACTCATGTTGGCAGCACGAGATGCAATTATAAAAAGACTTAGTGAATTTCAAAGCGGTTCGGACACGATGTGATAACTTGATCCTTAATAATTGTAAATATCTTAACGTTGCGCTTTCTATTAAATATTTTCTATAATTTAACATGCGAATAACATCCGGTAATTTTCTTCTGAATTTAAGTCGACAACATTCGTCATTATTGTTTAATGAAAATTCTTAACGCTTTATCCTGAACGAAATTATCAAATGATATTGCTCGGAGCGGCTTGATGGGGACTATACGATTGAAATAATTAGTGCCACTAAACGATTTATTAAGAAGCTTTTAGCAGTAAATTGTAGACTTTCGGAAATTATAAAATGATGGCTGGTTGATGATGCATTGATCTTCTATAATCCGAGAGTGGTTCCGAAATAATTAATATATCTTGAAACCAATAAATGCAGGTACGCAACCATTAGGTATAAATTAACATGAAATGTACAATTTTTAAAAGGCGAATGTAATCTGCTCTGCGAAGTAAGACTCGAAAGTTATAATGCATGATCTTTTCTATCATGAAGGAGAAACAATAGAACTAGATACGTCGTTGAAGCTAAAAACGAAATGAAATTAAAAGACATCCAAAAATCAGTATGTAACATCAAAGTTACAGCTGCAGAGGGCTGACAAGTGTCGTGCAACAACCTCTCATTCGGTGTAAATACGTTTAGTCCATCTGTGCGTGCGCCACGGATTCGCGACTCGACAAGTTTGTTCAGAATTTTTCGTCCGGTACTTTTCGCCCTCGCATTATGAATATGTACGGACTCGTTACGCCGGAAAGTTGTGAAAGTTCGAAACGCGGTCGACGGAGATAGCGACTGCTTTCACAGAATAATATATAAAATCAAGATAAAACTATCCGGGGGCATCTCTGCAGAGGGACACGAAGGAACAGAAATTACGGGAGGACGAGATGCGAAGAGAAGGATCGCGGGCACAATGCACGTGCCGCCGGTATAATGCATGTTGGCCATTTCAGACGGAACGATCCTTTCGGATGGGGAGACCCAGGCGACGCCATTAAAAATTGTTCAGGCATGCAGCGACCGGAAGAATTCGTGAATTCCACAGCGACCGCCCGTACGAAACACTGCGAGGCACAGAGAACGGGCCCGCGGAGCTCGTCACCGATAGGAACAGCTTTAAGCGCGCGGCTTTTGATCATCCATTCCGCGGAAATCCACCTAATGTCCCCCACAGGCTTGATTTTCTGCCACAAAAGAATCGACCGAGGGTTCCGTGGCCTCCCCCGGTAGTACTTACGTACATCCTCTCAATCGGAATCTCTGTAATCGGCCCGCAAGTCAGCTTTTGTGAGCTGAAACCTCAAAGTAATACCGGACAACGCTGCCGGCGTTTTAAGGTGGAAGTATGATATGCGCTATATTGAAATTCCAGATGCAATTTCGCTGGCCGGCCTCGGGCTAACCGAGCGGCTCGCGGGAAAAGATATGGAGGATATCTAATCCTAGCCGCGTAGGAAAATCGAGAGGGAAAAAAAGGAACGGTGATTGCCCGTTGGGCCAGGGCAAACGTATTCTTTAAAAGAGGGATCGTCCCCGGAGAGGAATTAATACGACTTGGAGGAGGAATTTCGCTCGATGGAGCCCGTATCCGAGGCGTCGCCAGTGTATTTCGTTCGAGAGGGACCGGCTCCGCAGTGAAACGAACGGGATCCTCGCCGTTGTCAAAACCCGCTCACTTTCCCCGTAAAAAATTCACGGTGTTTTCCCCGTGGAAACAAAGAAGGAACGTCCTTGCGAAGGAAGTTTCGCCCGCTCGCGGAATATTCCTCTTTGTCCAATAACAGCAGGACCGTCGGGGAAGGAGGAAACACTGGAATGGTAAAAACGGGCTGGGAAAATGTGTTTCAGGCGTTTTCGACATCAGCCATCCGCAGTCCTTCTTTCTCCGGAGCGCGTGGAAACAGATGCGGATGCTTCGAGATATTCCGCAGCGTGTCTGGTTGCGAGGAGAAAGACGGAAAGAGGGAAAGAGAGAACGTTGGGAATAGGGGCAGTGGGGAACGGGATGCTCGAGTATTACATAGTGGCAGCCAAGTGCATATTTCGCGGGCTGTGCTGTTGCTTGCATCCGGTTGGTATCATCCTGGATTTGCAAGCGGATAGGATTATCGCTTGCTAATGTATCAAAGCCACTTGGCAAGCTGTGTGCACCTCGAGAAACGCCAGACCTTCTCTTTTGTCTCGTGTGAAGTGGTTAATACCTTGGTTTCCCATCAGGCTCCGCATACGAGACAATTAACGGCGGTTTGTAATTGCAATCGGTCTCGCTCTAGGGACAGCTTTACGCGGACCAAGACCACTGCCGCGATAAAATATGAACTTGTAATTGCGGCGACTCGCGTGTTCGCTGATAAACAAGCCTATAAGCGATAATCGATGATCGCTGAAATTCCACAGAAGCATATTCCTTTCACTGTTTGGAGCACGGTGAGGTTAAAAATGTCCCTTCTTTTTGATGCACGGTAACGCATGGTAGGACATTTTTAGACCCACTTGGAAATATTAGGCAATAGCCTAATATATAATATTAGTTATATTAGCAACAACTAATGCGCGTTCATGAACCCAGGTAGCATGGTGAGACTATTTGAATCCCACCCTATAACAACATATTGAATTGAGTTATTGATATTTTTTTATGTTTCTATATTATATGATTCCTTTGTTAATAAAAATAAATCAATTTTGTTTAATTTAAAACGCAATACAATTTCTGTGCAACATGGGTCTATTTTATTTCCTGGAATCCTGTGGCCTAAAGGGTTAACAATGTTTTGGACAAACAGAAACGCTGCTGGGTGCACAAATTAAAATACGAACAGAGAAGGCATCTGATTTGTGGTGAATGTTATCTATAACGTGATAAATGTTACTCGCATTTAGAGTTTACTTTCGAACACAAGAAGATATTATTTTTGTTCTAGAGAAAACTAAAAGAATATTTTGTTGTAAAAATATACAGTACATTTAAACTCGCTTGAAAAGGCAGAATTTCTTGGATCGTTTGCATCTGGGATTTCAAAGAAAAATATCGGACAAAAATTCCGTAATATGTGCCTCGATGTCTGCGATGCCCGTGATTTTTAGCAGAATTTTTACACGGGATTCAATGGAGAAATGAATGAAACCCGCGGGTAATCGGAACTTTCTCTGTGTCTACATTCCTAGTCGAGATAGAAAGTTGAAATTTTTCGTGAAATGTTTTTTCTCACTAAGCTACAAAACTCATGCGTCACTTATTCGATAGTTTCCTTCGTGTTACACGGTTTTCATAAAATAATTCGTGAAAATAGAAATTTCTATAGAGACCTAATTAGAACCAGTGTACGAATTGTACTTATGATTCTGTTGCTCACGTTGCATTGATATAATGTTCCTACTCTTTCCCAGATGGCAGTCTATCTCTTTTAAACTGTTAACAATTTGGCACCTCGAAAC